CTGTCACGGCAAACTCATGGCGAAACTGTATAAAGTGAAAAGAAAGAGTAGATCAATATTTTTGATGTTAATGAGAACGGATAGCAGTTTCTAAGAACGTGAAGTCTCTTGTCATTTTTCGCGATTATCGGCTTTGTTCGCCATCTCGGTTATTGCGGGAACGTTTTAGACCAACGATAATGATCTGCGATGCGACAACACGGCAAGTAGCGAGCGAATTACCAATATTCATTAATTTCACAATTAAGCCTTTCGAAGCGAAGCTTCCTCCCAGCCTGTGGATAGAATTATTCATCAAGCTTTCCTTTCTTTTAGAGATTAGAACTGTTTAACTGTTAAACGAAACGCGCGTACATCATCGTGCAGAATTATTTAAAACTGAACGTTATTAATCATAATGATCATTCGCGCGTCAGACGAGCTAACATACTTTGAGCGTTATAAATCAGGAGAAGAAGAATTGGAAGTAAGTAAATAGAAATCTATAAAGATTTTATTCAATTGTTAAAATAGAATTATATCGCATTGATTTCAAAAACGGATTCGAGTGACGTCTCGACGTGACAGCAATTTCTATAAATAACGTGATACGATGAGCTCGAGAGATATATATCTATTTTAAGATAGATATCGTCTAGGTCAAGACGCGTTTCGTAAGGTAGTACACGGTGACAAGTATGAGCCTTGTTGGAAGTTCGGACATGTTAAATTCCGCGCGAGATAGCTGCATCTCAGCGAGACGGACGTGAGAAATACCACAAATGGGATACGAAAAATATTTGTATCACAAGCGGTGCGATACAAGTCCGGTAGTTGCGAGTATCTTCAGCGAATATTTGATAACCCACGGGATACGAGCTGTCTAACTTATAACCTCGAAATAACACCGACGAGGGACGCGCCAAGAGCACGATATCATTTTGGCTTTCGGCCAACTTTACCCGTTTAATATGAACGTTGTTGTCAATCTTGTGCACAAAGATCCATCGCTAAACTCGTATCGAATTGAAATCCGAGCAATTTTAATGGGGAGAGAAAAAAGACCGATGACACAGAGAGATTTGACAAATTAACACAATGTTTGTTGTGAGTCAGAAATGATCAAATTTGTAGAAAGGTAAATAAAAATAATGTAAAGAGAAAGGAAAATTTTTACTGTTGAGCGATATCAATTACGTGACGGACAAATGACATTGAAGAGCGAAAAGCGAGTTTTATAATCGAGTTTGCGTGACATTTTACCTTTGCAAAGATCGATACGCAAACTATATATATCGAAACAACACACATGGAGTTTATAAAGCATTTTGTCTATTAACCTCGTCGTGTTAGTTAGTAGTTTCAAATGCTCAACGTAATACTACTTACTGTACAATAAAGTTAAAGGGTCATTTTGTGTTTGTGAAAACGACAACCCGTATTACAAAATTCAATGAGACTAAAAGTTTTCGTCATAATTTTCGGCTTTCTCAGAATAAATGTTACACAGAGATAAGAAAATTGTAAAACGCGCGCGTATAGCAAACCTTTATCTTTAGATCTTCTCTTGATCTACTTACAATCGCACGCTCGTCATTCACGCGCATCAAGATGGCGCGTCTGGCATATATTCAAGAAACTGTTTTTCATCCTCACTCGAGTCTCTCCGGTATCTATCTCGCATTCATTATCACTCTCCCGCCAGGTTCGCCAATTAATCACGAAAAGGAAATAAGATTTACCAACAGTCGTAGCTGAAAAATAATTATCTCGGCCGCATTATCTCACACGCCAGCTTTATCACAGGCCGCCCTTTACTTATCCTGTAATCTATGCACGTAACATCCCTGCGTACGCGCGCCGTTTATCGCCGCGCGATATCTTTCCCTTTGATCTTTTTTTTTTTTTTTTTTTTTTTTATTATTTTGTTTTACATTCGAAATTAATTGCAAAAAAATATCATTCGCAAAAACCGATTGTTTTTATAAAGCTCGAGTTATCGAGATTCAACATTTTTGCGCACCTTTTGGACTCTAGACAATAAACAGTTATATAAGCGCGATAATAATTAAAACAAATTTCAAAATCTGTGTGTCGCTTTATCTTTTTTAATTATCGGTTTATATAGCTTTTAATTTCTACTTTATTTTTTGCCGAAATTGTCTGGGATGAATTGTAAACTTATTCGTCGAATAAGAGAAAATTTGCAAATGCAAAACAATATCGCACGTTTCTCTATCGATACGCTCCGGCGTATTGCTATTTTGTTTTGCAGGTCAGCGGTAGCGTGGAGAGATAACGTGCGTTGTCGCATATATATATATATATATATATATATATATATATATATACTATATATACTATATATATACGCACGAATGCAAATTAACGTTAACTCCATCGGCTACTTTTTGCATCCGCTCATATGCAAGAGAGAATCGAGAGCGAGACTCGTCGCGGTCGCCATTGTCGACGCTGCTGTGGATTGGCTTCAACGTCGTCGATAACGAACTACGGCATCGCGAGAGCTTCGTGTTTCGCATTTTACGTGCTCTCCGTCTCGTCGTCGACATGTCGTCCTTTCTCCGTATCTTGTTTGCTTTAAACTTGCAAGCGTTGATAATCGAGTTGCGCGCTCGTTCATTGTTAACGTATTATTCTTCGCGCGCTGATGAAACAGAAACAAACGAACGACGATGGAACGGCGGATGTTTTAGTTCGATTAATGCAGCGTTAAACGGACAATTATTAATAGAAGCGGGTAATTATGAAACGCGCACGAGATAGATAACGCGATATCCATATGTATGAGATATAATAAGTAATTTCATTAATTTCCTACAAAATTATCCGATTTTAACAAACAAACGCTTTTAAGTATGTTTCGTTTTTTTTTTTTTTTTTTTTTTATCGATGATTCAAAAAGAGTTATTATAAAAGGAGACTCCCTCTCCATAATGTCGACATAGTTAAATAAAAAATTTTACTAATTGCATCTTTATCATCGCGCGTCATATTTGTTATGCCATTCTTGCGATAATACTCGAAACAAAATTATGCCGCATAAAATATCGTTTGATTGTTACCGATCGTATAGTTATATTCATTAAGCTTTCATACATATCCATAAATTGCTGATATCGAGACATCGCTTATGGTACTTGATATTACAATTTTAATCACCACGTTATTAATATATGATTACGAGGCGATCGAAAGAGAGACAATAGTCCGCGCGCACTGCTTTGATTATTTCATAACGATCGAAGTGCGGATTTTCCCGAACGGAACAGAATAACATTACTGGCGGTTTATCGTCGCTTTAACGGCCGTGCGCATAATGAGCGGAAGTGAATCGCGGTGCGCATATCGTGCGCATTACCGACGGCATACGTTTCGCGAGATTTATAAAATTCAGACGGACACTTTACAAAGGTATAACATCAGTATATCTTCACGCGGTGAAGAGCAGCGCGTAAGTCATATAAAATAATAGACGGGCGGACACGCGTGATTAATTTCTCCCACGACGACAGAAGTCGTCTGAAGCGGAAATGCATTTAGGAACAATTTATCGCCGAATATATACGTGACACGTACTTACATAAACGTGACAAACGCGCTATTTGTATTCCGCCCGCTTTTCGTTTCCCGTAAATTCCCCGCCCGACCGTGTGCGCTCGCGATAATTTATAAATTCGCGGAAATAACTTATTTTAACTGACAGCGCTCTCGTCAAAATTGTAACGGCGGTGTAATTAAATTTATCGCGACGTATATTACTTTGTAAACGTTGCTCCATAAATAGCGTCGTAATAACATAGTTTCCGGAAATACCGAGCGATACCTAAACTTCATTTAACGTACTAGTAAATTACTGGATTTCCAAACGAAATAGAGAAAAAAAGAGGCAGAAAACTTTTTTATTCTGATATTTCTATTTAAACATGACAAAAAACCGCAATGTGCGCACCTAACGTCTATTTATTAAGATCCACATATACATATACAGATACAGATAATCGCATGAAGATGATCTTGGGACCATCACCGGTCGTGCTCGTGATGAAATATTGTACATTCTGACCTTGGAGTTTAACTCTCGTGATTATACTGCAAATAGGGATCTTGATAAGTAAATTGATTCACTCAATCACAATTGATGACACTTTCTCAATTGCCTTATATGTATACAAATGATTCTTATATCCGGTATATCACATCTTTTTTAACTACTTGTTTGTGCTTATAACTTTCTCTGTTAGTTAAACGTTTCAAAACAATTTTTCTTTATTTCGAATTTATTTATAATTTTAATCTAGTTTTTAACTATCGTCGGTGCGACGAGTTAAGCCTGTGTCTGACTAATGCGCGGTATTCGTGATTCGCGGTTTGCGCGGATCGTAATTAATATAAAATTTGTAAATGATGTGACAGAAAACTCATCGATTTCATGCGTTATTTTTCATCAACAATGAATCTCAAATAGAGCGATTTTTCTGCGTGATAGAAGTGCGCGAATGGTCTGGCGCTAGCTTTATATACTCTCTACCCTTTTTGCGCATCTTTATTTTTTCCACGTTCTAATTTTTTCACGTTCAAATTGTTTTTCTCTCTGTGTAAATATTTATAAACTTTTATTTCGATGACAATCACGCGACAAACGCGACGACGTAGATGCAATCGTGCGACAAGCGTAAACACGCGACGTCCAACATGTCAAAATAGTTTCTTATTTATCGTGAGAGAGAGAGAGAGTAACGAAATTAACAGCGCTTTGCTCTTAGCAAAGTTCCTTCGTGATACGGTCGATGAGTGTCACGAAGCGAAACGATACGCTCGACCGGAGACCGCGTGACGCCGTTAGTCGATCTCGAGATGCAAAGCTTGCGAGAGTGCACAGCTGATGAGTTCGTTCGCTGGAAACAGACGATAAAGCTGCGCGGCGTGCTTGTCACTCGTCGATGATGCTGCCGCGTTCGATTGTAAAATAAATGATCCAAACATTGTGATTATTTCAGGCATGTTATGTGTCAGAGTACCAGGCACGGAAGTCCGCGCAGAAGATGACGGAGTCAAGTAGATAAAAGAGAGCTGCCTGGACGACGACGGACGATTCCTCGCTCTTCCCGCACCGCAGCGCACAATGCTCTGCTACTTCGCTCTTGTCGTACTCTTCGCTGTCAACGTGCCAATCGGTGAGTAACTTCGACTTTCTTTTCTCGCGAAAGGAACTTCGCCTCAAAGTAGTTGGGCCAAATTTTCGAGAAAATTCATGCAAGTGAAAGCTAGAGTTTTCCCCAAGAATGCGACAGACATGCGCCACTTGCATTTTGTAATTACGCGCTACAAAGCTCTTGGAGCGGAGTTGAATAACGTTTGGTGTGCAAAGTATAATTTACCACGCGCGCGAGAAACTCGAGCTCTCACACATTTGATTGCAATATCAAACGCGATGACAATTTCACACGTTTTTAAATAGAATCTCGGACATTTATTCAAATAAAACAAAAGACAAATTGCTGTCATTATTCCATTTTAATATTTGAAAAGATAATGTAATGTACTACCTAGAGTATTACATTTTGGGTTTTAGCTTGAAAATGTTTATATAATAAAAAAAAATGAACAATTTTTATTACATAATGTAATATGATAACATGATAATATTCGCGAAGAATGAGAAAAAACAACATTGTTGAAACGTTATTTTTCTCGCAGCTGAAATAATTTATTGCACAGTTAAATGTGTAAAAATATGCTGGCAAAGAATATATTGCTCCGACCATCACAAATGTGTATCGCGTGCATTCAATACAACTAAGTAAACCGAGGTGCGTGCGCGATTTGACCAGCTAGCTTCTGTCACATATATCATTCCCGGTCCATTACATGGGGCTACGCTTATTGCGATTGACGCGAGAGTCGATACATTGCGAAAGGTGTCCAATACGAAATCTGTTGTGCCCGACAACGAGCAATAACGCAGATGCAACGCGGGGGCACATTGCCAACGTTGTGTTACACGGTGCGGTTCAAAAAATAAATAAAGTGCGGCTCGAGTATAACACTCCCGGTCCGGAAGTGCGACGCTATCGAACTGTCAGATTCTTGCCCAAATGTTTATCCGATAGCAGTAAATAGAGAAAAAGCGATCGCGTTTTTTGCAAATATTTCACTGCATTGCGATTTATTGCGCCGGCTATTCTATATCTTAATATAACGACGTCTGAACAAATTGTCAAACGTATATCAAATATCCGTCTCTCAGTAGCTTCACTTTTCGGGAATGGGATTTTTAGATATATAGGAAAGAATGGGAGTTTTTTTTTTTTAGATATATAGAAAAGAAAGTATATTTGAAATTATAATTTGAAAGGGAAGAAATGTAAAAATAATTTTGTAGATATTTTCGTTTCTTCGAGCTTTTTCGTATTAAGGAAAAAATAAATACGTGAATAGGGAATTTGTGCCGTAAAAATCAAAATTGAAGAAAACAAGGTTTAAAATGTTTTAAATTAAATATTATAAATGATTAATTAAATATTATAAATGATTAAATATTATAATTTAGTCACAGTCTCTGCGCGCAATTTTGCTGGTCTGAAGATATCTAGTAGTGCTACTTTCTCTCTCTCAAAGAATCGCGATAAGAGCTTGATAGCTTGTATATCGCCACGTAATTGCTCTCTCCTTTTTCCGTGATGGATGTACCGATTAACTACTCGAACACAATCGGTTGGATGCTATAAATTCGATTTAACCTCAGCCGTACTCGATCTTGACATAATTCCACTAATAGATAACATGTACTGAATTACGCATAAACCATCGATTATCTAACCGTCGATTATTGAGCCGTTGAGAAGTTGAGCGATAGAATTCGATACACACGCGCAAAACTAATTTAAAACAGTCGCGAAATTAATTTACCGTTAATTAATTTACCGTTTTAAAGCAAATGAATATTTACTTAAGTGACAAATCAATCAAGTTTTTACCGTGTTTATTGCATACTGGTAGTAAACATATGATAAAAAAAGTGATATTGGATTTCTATTTGAATAAAACAACAAGCATAAGAATAAATAAGCTGAAAATGTTGCAACAGAGATAAATTATATGGTTTTTACCTTTCAGTTTTTACCTTCGCAATTTCACATTATGTGTATAAATATATGTAATATAATGTAACTGTAGCCCGATTTTATTGAGTTCAATCTTTTTTGGTGTTGAATAATCGGAAGGTTTGGAGAAATATTAACAAGCGAAATTGCGAGGTGAGAAGTCGAATTTTCCGAATAAAGAAACGAAAGAAGGATGAGAAATCAGTTTAACGAACTAACACCTAATGAACGTACGCTTTTCTTTTTCTCTCTCTCTCTCTTTCTCTCTTTCTCACTTCGCCTTTTTTCGCATTGCTTTTTCCCCTTAGATCGAAGACGCGGCAGCCATTCTATATCGAACTGAGACTCAATTGGGTTCTGGACCGCGGTTATCCGTTTATCGCTATATAACCAT